TTGCCTGGATTAACGCATAGTCCTTTCACTTTTCTGCTCCAAGCTGCTGGGTTCTGCATTAAGCCCTTGTGCTTCTGGGGCTGTGGCCGTGCTGGAGAGCCGCTCGTGGGGGCAACTAGTGACCTCGGTAGGGTGTGAAGGACGGACCGGAACACCCCCCTTCCCATGAGGTTTTAGTCGCCCCCACACTCCCGGCTCATACCTGCTATCCACAAGGCTCCCATGTGGCCGCCATCTTTCTTTCCAGAGAGGAGAGGGCGAATGGGGCAACACCCTTTCCCCTCCGGCAGACTTGATGGGCTGGATCAACGCATATAGTCCGTTCACTTTTCTGCTCCAAGCTGCTGGGTTCTGCATTAAGCCCTTGTGCTTCTGGGGCTGTGGCCGTGCTCGAGAGCCGCTCGTGGGGGGCAACTGGTGACCTCGGTAGGGCGTGAAGGACGGACCGGAACGCCCCCCTTCCCATGAGGTTTTAGTCGCCCCCACACCCCCAGCTCATACCTGCTGTCCACATGGCTCCCATGCGGCCGCCATCCTTCTTTCCAGAGAAGAGAGGGCGAATGGGGCAACACCCTTTCCCCTCCGGCAGACTTGATGGCCTGGATCAATGCATAGTCCTTTCACTTTTCTGCTCCAAGCTGCCGGGTTCTGCATCAAGTCCTTGTGCTTCTGGGACTGTGGCCGTGCTGGGGAGCCGCTCGTGGGGGGCAACTGTTGACCTCGGTAGTCGTGAAGGACGGACCGGAATGCCCCCCTTCTCGTGAAGTTTTAGTCGCCCCCCACACCCCCGGCTCATACCTGCTGTCCACAAGGCTCCCATGCGGCCGCCATCCTTCTTTCCAGAGAAGAGAGGGCGAATGGGGCAACACCCTTTCCCCTCTGGGCAGAAATGATGGCCTGGGTTAACTCATCGTCCGTTCACTTTTCTGCTCTAAGCTGCTGGTTTCTGCATTAAGTCCTTGTGTTTCTGGGGCTGTGGCCATGCTCCAAACTTAACTCTGATTTTCAGGGAGAAAGATTGGGTGGTTTACTTCTCATTGATCACTTTGTATATAGAGAGATGTTTTGAGAAAAAGTCCTCATTCCCGCATACTCGAGCTGTGTTTGTAGAGGCTTCTGGTCACCAGGGTTCCATCAGGGGGAGGCGGGATGCGGCGCCTACTCCATCTGGAACTTGCCGGTGCTCTCGGCTCTTTTTGGAACCTGTTTTTTCTTTTTTCTTTTCCTCCGGGATCCCGCACCCTCCATGTGTTCCTTCTCTTATTCTGAACGCTTCAAAGATGGCGCTGGGGGGCGGGCTGTGGGCGTGACTTCCGGAATCAGAGGTTACCTGGGAGGTGTAGTCCGGCAGATTTGAGAAAAAGTCCTCGTTCCCGCATACTCGAGCTGTGTTTGTAGAGGCTTCTGGTCACCAGGGTTCCATCTGGGGGAGGCGGGATGCGGCGCCTACTCCATCTGGAACTTGCCGGTGCTCTCGGCTCTTTTTGGAACCTGTTTTTTCTTTTTTCTTTTCCTCTGGGATCCCGCACCCTCCATGTGTTCCTTCTCTTATTCTGAACGCTTCCTTTTTTTTCTTTTTCTTTTTTTTTTTTTTTACATTTGATTTGGGGCTGGAGCGATAGCACAGCAGGTAGGGCGTTCGCCTTACAAGCGGCCAACATGGCCGACCCGAGTTCGATTCCTCCGCCCCTCTCGGAGAGCCCGGCAAGCTACCGAGAGTATTCGATATGCCAGACACAGTAACAACAAAGTCTCCAATGGAGACGTTACTGGGCCCGCTCGAGCAAATCGACGATCAACGGGAGGGCCTTTACCTTTACCTTTACATTTGATTTGAATCCAGTTTATATTTTTTCTGTGTAAGGATGTAGGAAGGAATCTGGCCTATAGTAGATCAGAAATAAGAAAAAATGAAGGAGGAAGCAAATAAATACACATGATCATCGTATACATGAAGATCTTATGTTCTAAGAGTATATTCCACTTTCCAATACATCACCCTATTGCCCTCTTTTCAGAGCCACTGTTCTAAGATATTTTTTTAATGTAGGAGTACTGCTATTTATTCAGCTACTGATTAGCTGATTGAACTGAGCATAAACTCCACCTTACTTTTTTTAAAATAATTTTATTTATTGAATCACCATGAGAGCAGTTACAAAGCTTTCAGGTTTAAGTCTCGGTCATACAATGAAACATCCTTACCTTCACCAGTGCCCATTCTCCACCCCAAAAAACCCCAACATACCCCCACCCTACACCCTCTCCCTACCTGTGGGGTAGATGATTTCCACATTACTCTCTCTCTACTTTGATTACATTCAATATTTTGACACCAGACCTACCATTATTTTTTGGGATTTTACTCCAACACTCAGATCTGCTGAAAAGGCAACAGTAGACAATTTGTTTTCTATTGCTGGTTATGAATAACACATGATGTTGCGTGGCTGCAGTAGTGGCCGTGTGATTTTGAAATTCAGAAATTTTAACACTTAAATCTGGAGGGATTTCTGCCCAAACCTGCTGGCTTCCGAGATTTGTTCCTGAATCTCTGTGATCATGGCCATTAAGCAGCTTGATCAGGAGCCAGAATGCCCATTCATGGGCAGCAACTCAGCCTCTCACTGGGACAGGGAAGAAAGGTCCAGCTCCATCCCCTTCCTGTGAGGCCCGGCGTGTCTCCTCACTGCAGGCCCAAATCTGACTGTCCAGTGGCCTCTGGAGGATGGAGACCACCAGGCCATGAGGGGGAACAGGCCAAGGCACGAAACCTATTCCCACTTGGGTTGGCCCAGGGCCAGTAAACTACTGCAGGGACTGGATGCATTTCTGCCAAAAGCCATAGGGTTTTGAGATTTGTTTCTGAGTCTCTGGGATCATGGCCATTTAAAAGCTTGATCAGGAGCCAGAGAGGCCATTCATGGGCCGTGACTCAGGGTCTCATTGGGATGGGGAGGGAAGGCCAGCTCCACCCCATCCTGTGAGGCTCCGCGTGTCTCATCACTGCAGGCCCAAACCTGATTGTCCAATGGCCTCTGAAGGATGGCGGCCACTGGACCACCAAGGGGGAGTAGGCGGAGGTACAGCACCCTTTACCCCCTGGGGTGGCCCAGCCAAGTAACCTACTGCGGGGTCCGGGCACATTTCTGCTAAAAACCGCTCGGTTTTGAGATTTGTTTATGAGTCTCTGGGGTCATGGCCATTAAGCATCTTGATCAGGAGCCAGAGAGGCCATTCGTGGGCAGCAACTCGGGGTCTCATTGGGATGGGGAGGAAAGGGCCGGATACACCCCCATCCCATGAGGCCCCACGTATCTTGTCACTGTGGGCCCAAACCTAACTGTCCATGGCCTCTAGAGGATGATGGCCACCAGGCCTCCAGGGGGAACAGGCCAAGGCATGAAACCTATTCCCACCTGGGATGGCCCGGCTCTGGTAACCTACTGCAGGGACCAGACACATTTCTGCTAAAAGCCGTTGGGTTTTGATATTTGTTTCTGAGTCTCTGGGATCATGGCAGTTAAGCAGTTCACTCAGGAACCAGAGAGTCTATGCCTCCAAATATATAGCTGAGCCGAAGATGGTTTGTGGGTGTGTCTCCCACATACCTAACTCTTCACCATTTACTTTCTTGGTAAACTTTGCCTCAAGTTTTTGGGGTCTGGCCAAAGGCACAGGCAGCAATTTTGGGGTATCTGGAAGTCTGAAGGCACCATCAGGCTGCTCATGCAGTTGCCTCACTGGTACAGATTGACCTGTTGGTGGAACCATACCCGCTGCCACCCCCAGCCCCCCGGCATGTTCTAAGATTTTAGGTCTGGAATCTTTTCTTCAAAAAAAATCATGCCAGGGGCTGGTGCGATAGCATAGTGTATTTACCTTACACGTGGCCAACTCGGGTTTGATTCCCAACATCCCATATTGTCCCCCGAGTACCACTAGGAGTAATTCCTGAGTGCATGAGCCAGGAATAACCCCTGAGCATTGTTAGGTGTAACCCAAAAAAGCAAAAAAAGCATACCAAATAGCTAACATCTGTTAAATTGGCAAGGTAGCACATAGCATGGGAAGGTTAAGGCAATGAGGACATGACCAACAGGGAATTGAAGAAAGAAATATTTACATGTATCACAACTTCAGGCTCAACAAAATATGAAATGATCTAAAAGGATAAATAAGATGAAACTTTCAATCCAAAACTAGATTCCTCTGATGGTGTGTGGCCCAGCTGCTCAGACTCATAACTCGGTACTTAAAATCAAATCCAATAATCCCCAACAATGTAATTCAGTCCATGCTCTGATTTTAACCTCAATTTAGAACACCCCCAAATCACCATAGACTTTCCATACATCTCATTTATTTAAAACTAGACCAAAAAGCTACTGAACAAATAGAGTCATTAAGTGAAAACTTCACTACATCTAGAGTTATAGTTTCTGAGTTTATATTCCTTCATACTCTGTAGGATAACATTGGTTTGTCCTTTCAGCCTTGCCACAGAGAGTTTAGGTTTATTGGATTACTCCCATCACAGTGCTCCCATTCCTCTGTGCTTATGTATAACATCTTTCTTTGTGCTCTGTTAACACCTCCAGGACCAGCCACCACCATGCTGAGACCACTCTCCGCACACCTGAATGTACCGGCAGAAGGACAAAGGCAAGCGGGTCTGGGGGCTGAGATCTCCAAGCCTACTCGGTTCGGGGCTGAGCATCCTCCACCCAGATCCTTCGAATTCCAGTAGGGGGGGGGTCACACCCACCAACTGGCCCCCTGGCGCCGTGTAATCCCATCAACAGCCATGACTCAGAGACTATAAAAACCAGTTCCCGGACAACTTATTATCTCATTCTTACTTTGGACAAACTGGCAGGCTACCAAATGTAACCTGCCCACACGGCAGAGTCTGGCAAACTCCCCGTGGCGTACCCAATATGCCAAATACCAGTAACAATGATGGGTCTCATTCTCCTAAAGAGCCTTGAATATAGCACTTTGTTAAAAATCTCAGCACCTCGGGAGCTATGTAATTAGGAGTCCCGCACAGGGTCTTCTTCCGCTCCCCGTCGTATTCGACTCTCGTGGCCAGTCCAAAATCCCCTATTTTCACCTCCAGATCCTCATTGAGGAAGAGGTTGCCCAGTTTGAGGTCCCGGTGGATGACCCGGTTCTGATGCAGGTACTGGCAGCCCAGGATGATCTGGCGCAGGTAGTAGCGGGCCTCGGGCTCCGTCAGCGCTTTCCTCCGCTTGTGCAGTTCCAGGAGGGACCTGCGGCGGCACAGCTCCAGGACGACGAACACGAAGTCATTGTCCTCGAAGAAGCCGTGGAAGCCCACGACGTGCTGGTGGGCGAGGCTGCGGTGGATGGCGATCTCCATGGACATCTTCTCCTTCTGGTGCGGCTTGAGCAGCAGCGACTTGGGCACGATCTTGCCCGCGAACACCTCCTTGGAGTCGGCGTCCGAGATCTCGAAGCACTTGGCGAAGCCCCCCTTGCCCAGGAAGCTCACAGTTCCAGAAGGCAGAATCTAAACGATGGACATGGGAGTCTCCCGGTGGACGATTCCACAATGAAAGAGACCACATCATATTCAATCGACGGTTTTGCCTGACTGATGTCGCTGTTGTCCCAAAATTTCGAACGGGATCGGACCACCGTCTCCTTCGTGCAAAATTCTACTTCACAGCGCGGGGAGAAAGGGCTGCAAAGTTCAAAAAGAGAACTCCCAGAATGACCACCAACTGGGAACTCTTTGGTACTATTGCGGCAACATGGGAAGATGCCATTGTTGACAACATTGACGAGGAATATGATCGACTGGTTCAGCACCTCCATGAATGTGCGAGGAACGCCAAGAGAGAGATAGCCACAAAAAATCGCCTATCTTCGAAAACTCTTGAGCTAATTCGCCAGCGTGGTTTGGCGCATGCCTCAGGCAACCGCAAGCTAACGTCCGAGCTCGCAAAGCAGTGCAGAGATGCGATCAAGGAAGACCTCAAAGAGAGAAGAGCAGAAGTACTGGTAGATGCGGCAGAAGCCGGGAAAAGTATTCGCAAGGCCCGCCTGTCCTTCGCCAACTATAAGACCAAGATGACTGCCCTCCGACATCCTGATGGATCCATCACATCCTCCAGAACGGCAATGGAGAAGATTATCTATGACTTCTACTCAAATCTCTTCAATAGCCATGTCCACTTGCCGACATACCAAATTCCACAGGATAGATATGTCGTTCCCAACGTTCTCCCTTCCGAAATCCGACACGCCATTTCGTCGGTAAAGAAACGAACAGCACCCGGCCCAGACAAGGTCAGACCTGAACACCTGAAGAACCTGCCGTCAGTACTCATCAATACACTGGCTCGGCTCTTCACTCGCTACCTGTCTGAATGCAAGGTTCCGTCCCAATGGAAAACCAGCAGGACCGTACTACTGTTCAAGAAGGGAGACATCCATGACATTGGCAACTATCGCCCGATCTGCCTATTGTCTGTCATCTACAAGTTGTTCACTCGAGTCATCCTAAATAAGATTGGCAGAACACTAGATGAAGGACAACTATGCGAGCAAGCAGGGTTCCACAAAGGATTCAGCACCATCGACCATATCCACACGATAACCAAGCTCATTGAGGTTTCTCGGGAGTTCAAGATGCCGCTCTGTTTAACGTTCATTGATTTAAAGAAGGCCTTTGATTCTGTTAAGACGGAAGCGGTCATGGAAGCCCTAGCCAATCAGGGCATTCAAGCCCAATACATCAGGATCCTCCGTGAGCTCTATTGTGGATTCACTACCAGGATCTCACCATTCTACAAAGAAGTGATCATTGATGTCAAGAGAGGTGTGCGGCAGGGTGATACCATTTCACCGAAACTCTTCAGTGCCACCCTCGAGAACATCATGCGACGACTGGAATGGGAAGGAATGGGAGTGAAGATAGATGGTCGGCAATTACACCACCTCCGCTTTGCTGATGACATTGTTTTAATAACACCAAACATCAGCCAAGCGGCACAAATGCTGGCCAACTTTGACCGTGAGTGTGGAAAGGTAGGACTACAGCTGAATCTTACAAAGACAATGTTTATGAGAAACAGCCTTGTTCCTGACGCCCCATTCGCTCTCAATGGAACGACCATCTCCGAATGCAACAGCTATGTGTACCTAGGTCGAGAAGTCAACATGACAAATGATCTGGCACCCGAGCTGCGCAGGAGGAAGAGAGCGGCTTGGAACGCCTTCAAGAACGTTGAAGAAATAGCTAAGAGGACGAAGAACCTCCGGCTCCGGGCACATCTCTTTGATTCCACTGTTCTTCCTGCACTAACTTATGCCTCAGAGACCTGGGCCCTACGCAAACAAGATGAGAACGCTATTCAGGTCTCCCAAAGAAGAATAGAAAGAGCTATGCTTGGAATATCACGTTTCACTCAAATGAGAGAACGAATCTGGAGTTCTGACATCCGTCGACGATCAAGGATCAGGGACGCTGTCTCATTTGCCAAAGGTGTCGAAAATCAGATGGGCTGGTCACGTAATGAGATTTAAAGACGACCGTTGGACTAGAGCTGTTACTGATTGGATTCCACGGGATGTCAAAAGACCGCGTGGCCGCCCACCTACCAGATGGTCAGACTTCTTCGTCAAGATCATGAACGATCGGTTTGAGGCCCTTCATGTTCCTGGAGCGAACAGATGCCATTGGGCTACACTAGCACGCGACAGGGACAAATGGAGACGTTACTGGCGCCCGCTCGAGCAAATTGACGACTAACGGGAAGTTAAGTGATTAAGTGATTAAGTTAAAAATCTCAGGGCTAGGATGAAGGAGACGTTACTGGGGCCCGCTCGAGGCAATCGACGAATAACAGGATGGTCATGATTCGTGATTCGTGAACTTGTTAATGTTGCTTTTCTCTTCTCTTTAAGTCCTTCACATAGTTAATTCAGACCAATGTCCTTTTTCAAGAGAACACTCTTGAACTTATTCGCCAACGTGGCTTGGCACATGCCTCAGGCAACCACAAGTGAACATCCGAGCTGGCAAAACAATGCAGAGAAGCCATCAAGAATGACCTCATTCGTATTGCCCACCTGTCCTTCACCAACTACAAGACCAAGATGACTCCCCTCCAACATCATGATGGATCTAACACATCTTCCAGAAGGGTAATGGATAAGATTATTCATGACTTCTACTCAGATCTCTTTAATAGCCACGTCCACTTGCCCACATACCACATTCCACATGATGTCGTTCCCACTGTTCTCCATTCCGAAATACAACATGCTATCTCGTCGGTAAAGAAACAAAGAGCACCTGGCCCAGGCAAGATCAGACATGAACACCTGAAGAACTTACCATCAGTACTCATCAATACACTGGCTCGGCTCTTCACACGCTACCTGTCTGAATGCAAGTTTCCATCCCAATGGAAAACCAGCAGGATTGTACTACTATACAAGAAGGGAGACATCCACAACATTGGCAACTATCGCCCAATCTGCCTATTGTCTGTCATCTACAAACTGTTCACTAGAGTCATCCTGAATAGGATTAGCAGAACACTAGATGAAGGACAACCATGTGAACAAGCCGGATTCCGAAAAGGATTCAGTACCATCGACCATATCCACATGATTACTAAGCTCATTGAGGTTTCTCAGGAGTTCAAGATGCCGCTCTGCCTAAAGTTCATTGATTTAAAGAAGGCCTTTGATTCTGTTGAGATGGAAACAGTCATAGAAGCCCTAGCCAATCAGGGCGTACAAACTCAATACATCAGGATCCTTCATGAGCTCTATTGCGGATTCACTACCAGGATCTCACCATTCTACAAAGAAGTAATCACCCATGTCAAGAGAGGGGTTCGGCAGGGTGATACCATTTCGCCAAAACTCTTCAGTGCCACCCTTGAGAACATCATGCGATGACTGGAATGGGAAAGCATGAGAGTGAAGATAGATGGTCGGCAACTACACCACCTCTGTTTTGCTGATGACATCGTTCTAATAACACCAAACCTCAGCCAAGTGGCACAAATGCTAACTGACTTCGACCGTGAATGTGGAAAGGTCGGACTACAGCTGAATCTTACGAAGACAATGTTTATGAGAAACAGCCTTGTTCCTGACACTCCATTCGCTCTCAACGGAACCACCATCTCCGAATGCAACAGTTACATATACCTAGGTCGAGAAATCAACATGATGAATGACCTGGCACCTGAGTTGCGCAGGAGGAAGATAGTGGCTTGGAATGCTTTCAAGAGCGTTGAAGAAATAACTAAGAGGACAAAGAACCTCCAGCTATGAGCACATCTCTTTGATTCCATTGTTCTTCCTGCATTAACATATGCCTCAGAGACCTGGGCCTACGAAAACAGGATGAGAACGTTATTCGGGTCTCTCAAAGAGGAATCGAAAGAAGAAAGAAAGAAAGAAAGAAAGAAAGAAAGAAAGAAAGAAAGAAAGAAAGAGCTATGCTTGGAATATCAGGATTCACTCAAATGAGAGATAGAATCCTGAGTTCTGATCTTCGTCAATGCTCAAGAATCAGGGATGCTGTCTCATTTGCCAAGGCATCAAAAATCAGATGGGCTGGACACGTAATGAGGTTTACAGACAACCGCTCGACTAGAGCCATTACTGATTGGATTCCACGGGACATCAAAAGATCGCGTGGATGCCCACCTACAAGATGGTCAGACTTCATCAAGACCCTGAATGATCGGTTTGAGGCTCTGCATGTTCCTAGAAACGAACAGATGCCACTGGGCTACGCTAGCACACAACCGGGATGAATGGAGATGTTACTGGCACCCGCTTGAGTAAATCGATGAATAACAATGGGGATTAAGTGATTAAGCGATTAAGTCCTTTTTGTATGGACACAAGAAGACAGTTAATGCTATGCTTTTGTAACCTGGGAGTTAATTGACTCCAGATAATATTACCTCCAGGGCATCTGTTCTCTCAACTTAAGCCTCAGATGCCCTTACTTCCTACAACCCAAAAGCAGGGTCCTGATGAAGGACTAGATGAACCCAGGGCAAGCTGTGAGCTACCTTGGCATCAAAATGGCCAGGCTAAGGTGCCATCATATTTAACTATAAGTTAAGAGCATGGTGAGAGACAAATTCTGTCATGATCCAAAAAGTAATAAGCAGATTCAGAGCCTGCTAGGGTTAGGAAAGATTAATCTTGCCTGAGCACTTTAGTCTGAGTCTATAGTGAGATGTCCCCAGGAGAGTCACCCTACAAGCTCAACGTATCTCTTACTTTGTCCATACAAAACAACTAATATTAAGTAGTAGAATTAACATGTTAATTAAGTTATTGGATTAAGGAGAGAAGAAACACCCCTAGGTGGTATTTCTCCCTTGAGCCTGATTGGCAATCAGAAAGGACTTTTGATATGTTGATGTGCTAGCCCCAATGTGAGTTGAGTTGGAGATAGGAGAGACAGAGAGGGCAGAGAGAGAGAGAAAGAGAGAGAGAGAAA